ATATTTATAATTGTCCTTATTTAACATTTGGCTTACTTTTTATTTTTCTTATTTTGTAGTTTAGACATTAAATTAACAATCAACCCTGGGTTTTGCTTGTAAGACTGTTTTTTTAGGAAGCTCGAAGGCATTCTAGACCAATTTTATTACTTTCTGTTTGTATCTTTGTAATGTAAATATTAAGAAATGGATATATGAAATATTCATGTGATGGGGAGCTAGCAGAACTGTGTTAATGTTTGCTTCTAGTAATTCTATTTTGTTGTCTTTTGAAAGAAAAGGATGGACCAGCAATGATAGAAGGAAACAATAGTATCCCTATTTTATCTGTGGAATTTTGGTTAGCAATAGAATAGACTGAAAGCAATTACTAGATGTTGGTTTGGTAGATTCTACTTTTATTTTATAGGTATTATAGTCAGAGGTCCTAAAATGAGCCTATGCCCATGGCCTATTCTGAGACCCAAAATGGCTCTAATGCACAGCTGTTTGGTGACTAACAATGCTTAAAGTAGGCCTTGCAGTTAAAAGCAAGGTCCGTTTAATAAATTAGAATCCCTTCCCACATCGTCAATAGCAACATTCAGGGAAAAGGTTATTAAACACATTTACCTTACCTCAGCTTCCATAATGCACCAAGCTTTCAATAAGATCTTCGGGAATGCTGAGTATCCAAAATCTTAGAAATTATACCCTGATATAGTGCATAAGCATCTTCTACAAAGATTACTAATACTCAACATTTACCAAGATCTCACTGAAAGTATCTCACCAGAAGGGTAATAACGATAATCTCCCAGATTCTGCTGGGAGAAGCTAGGGTAAGAGAAGAATAAATAATTAATTTTTTCCCAGTAGATGTCTTTTTTACATGTATGCTGCCATTTACAGTGGGGAGGGGGACTGGACATATTAAACAGATCTACTGCAAGATCCGTTTTACTGCAGTGTACTGAGAGCAGCATTATTTACTGAATCAGGATGATGAGAAAAAGGTTAGGCATAAAGTTTATCAGCCTTAAGCAACCAATAATGTTTACATTTTGGGTTGTCAAACTTAAAATGGATTCCTGATTGGCTGCTGTTTATACAACTTTGCATGTTACTCTTGCCATGGTAAAGGATAAGTTCACCTTTTTCAGGTAAAAAAAATGTGCAATTATTATTTTTTGTATTAGGAGCCTGTAAAACATTGTACCTGTGATCAGAAGATCACAGGTGCAATGCACGGCTCCTGCAGACTGTCAGTATATCTGTCTGCCTGTACCTTGTGAATGAGTGATGCAGCTGGGTGGGTGGAGCCCCGCTCAGCCATGTTTTTACAAAAATTGTGACAGCAGGTGAGGGGACAAGATCCCTGGCCTGCTGTCACAATGGGGGTTGGGAGGGGAGGTACAGGGGCTGTTGCAAAAGTAACATGTTGCATGTGTTACACCCTGAATACAGGAGTAAAATGTTATAAAAGGTGAACATATCCTTTATATAAGTTAACTTCATATGATTACATTGACACACTGAATGTTTTTTGCCAATATTACAATATAGAGATCTTTATTTCTTTAAACCCAAATTAACCTAATACAGTATATGCTGTTGTTCCCAAAAAACAATTATGCTGCTCCAAAAGTCTTTGAAAGGATACTTTTACTCTTTGGCTTTTTGTTTAACACATAAAATTATAATTATTTACCTGTACCTACAGCTGTGTTTAATATAAAGATTATCATCCATTTCTTCCCCAAAACATTACTTGGATGTACTTTTAACCACTCCAATTTGTTTAGTATTGTAGCATCTTGAGAAATCTGCTCTGATTTTAATTTAGGTGGCTTGAGGTCTTAGAAAAAAAACTATGGACAGATTATTTAAAAAAAAATCCTAGTTGAGCAATAACCCCACTTGACCTATCTGTTAAGTTGAAAAAAAAAATAAAGGCAGTCGCTGAATCCATAGATTCACAATTCAACTGTATAAACATTTAAACATTTGGCATTGGTACTTAAAAGTATGCATCATCCAATTAATCTTCATTTTATTGATGGGGATAAATATTGGCAAGATTTACTTACATAGTTAGTCTGGCTGAAAAAAGACAAAAGTCCATCCAGTTCAACCATTAAAAAAAAAAACAAGTTATACTCCTATGCCCACAGTTAATGCAGAGGAAGGCAAAAAAACCCAGCAAAGCATGATCCAATTTGCTCCTGCAGGGAAAAAAGATTCCTTCCTGATCCCCCAAGAGGCACTCGGAAATTCCCTGGATCATCTTTACCTATAAATGTTAGTATCCAGCTATATTCTGTGTATCTATGAAAGAATCCAGGCCTTTTTTAAAGCAATATACTGAGCTGGCCAGAACCAACTCTTGAGGGAGTCTATTCCACATTTTCACAGCTTTCACTGTGAAGAAACCTTTCCGTGTTTGGAGATTACATTTTTTTTTTATCCAGACGTAAAGAGTGCCCCCTTGTCCTCTGTGATGACCTCAGGCTGAATAGCTTAACACCGAGTTCACTATATGAACCACTGATGTATTTATACATGTTGATCATATCCCCCCTTAATCTCCTCTTTTCAAGAGAGAACAAATTCAGTTCCTCTAATCTTTCCTCATAGCTGATCTCCTCCATGCCTCTTATCAGTTTGGTTGCCCTTCTCTGTACTTTCTCCAGTTCCCCAATGTTCTTTTTGTGAATTGGTGCCCAAAACGAACTGCATATTCCAGATGAGGTGTTACTAATGATTTGTACAGGGGTAAAATGATATCTCTCTCTCTGGAGTCTATACCTCTATTAATACAAGAGAGGATTTTGCTCGCTTTTGAAACCGCAGCTTGGCATTGCATGCCATTATTTAATCTTGTGATCTACCAGAACTCCCAGATCCTTCTCCACCATTGATTCCCCCAGTTGTACTCCCCCTAGTATGTATGATGCATGCATATTCTTAGCCCCCAAGTGCATAACTTTACATTTATCAACATTAAACATTTGCTCAATTAAACAGTGCATTGAGGTCGGCTTGTAAGTTGGAGACATCCTGTAAGGACGTTATTCCACTGCACAGCTTGGTGTCATCTGCAAAGACTGAAATGGTATTTTTAATCCCAGACCCTATATCGTTTATTAATATATTAAAAAGTAAGGATCCCATCACTGAATTTTGGGGTACACCACTGACAACTCTAGACCATTCAGAGTATGAATCATTAACCACTACTCTTTGAATTCAATCTTTTAGCTAGTTTTCTATCCATATATATACAGATTTTTCCAAGCCCGCAGACTTTACTTTACACATTAGCTGTGTGTAAGGAACTGTATCAAATGCTTTTGCAAATTCCAAGTATACCACGTCCACCGCCACCCCTCTGTCCAAGGTTTTGCTCACCTCCTCATAAAAAGAAATCAGATTTGTTTGACAACTTATTTCTTTCATGAATCCATGCAGTCTGTTGCTTAAAATATTTTTTTCCAGCAAGAACTCATCTATGTGGTCTTTTATTAAACTCTCCAGTATCTTCCCAACTATAGAAGTTAAACTAACAGGTCTATAATTACTTGGTAAACATTTTGACCCCTTTTTAAATATTGGCACCACATTGGCCTTATGGCAATCCAGTGGTACTATGCCAGTCATTAAAGAGTCCCTAAAATTAAAAACAATGGCTTTGAAATGACAGAGCTCAATTCTATAAGGACCTGTGGGTGTGCTTGTTTTTGTTCTTTAAAACATAAAGAGAAAAATGTCTTTCACATTAAAGGTAGGACATAATTTATAGTTCTGAAAATCATTGTTTCCACTCCACATGAGGGATACAGAAATCTTTGGGGGAAGGGGAGAGTAGGTCTTTAGTAAATATAAACTCAAGTATAGTTAATAGTATATTTATATCATATAAAGTCACATGATGCAATGAACTCATGTTTGATGCAAATTATTAATATTAGGACTTCCAAATAGTTCAGTACAAGGTCCTGCAAAAAGCTAGGTCTTGTAGCCCTTCAAAATTATACTAATTCTAACATCAATGCTAAGGAATTTTAATTTCTGGTGTAAAAAGAGGCCTTATAAAAATGGAACAGTGTTGGCGGAAATATATACAAAGTATAAAACTATGTTGTGCATTAAATCTAAAAAGTAAACCTGTCCTTCTAGCAAGCCTGGTATTCCATGCTGGACTGAACCTGTCATCTCTTTCATTATGTACTTTTACTGTTCCTTTCCCCACTCTGTTTTAGGTTCTCAATACTGTTTCTTGGGGACACCCTTACCTGTGCATACAGCTATTCCCTTGTACCAGGTTATTTTCTCCCACTGTGAAGCAATTGTTAGGTCTGCCTAGGGTGCTCCACAGTTAATCAGGAGGCTAGGCCTGTCTACTGCTCCTGACTGAAGGTTTGCCAAGAACCAGCATAAAAGATCATCAGAGATACCCCAGTGTGGGGACCTTTATCTGAAGAAAGTTGAATATGCTGTTTGATTTTAGTACTGTTACAGTGGTCTTAAAGTGGAGAAAAACTTCAGCGCACCTATATAAAAAAAATGCACAATTCTATCATATGGCTCCAAATCTTTATAAAATGCTCAATTCTCAAAAAATGTATAGCCTTTCACCCTGCCTGCTCCCTGCCCAACCCTCCCTCCCCCTCTGGCACCCTTTTCAGTTCATCCTGGTGCAACTTTTTGCATGCCTTCTTCTGCCCTTCACTGATGTCACAAACAAATTCCTAAGGTAGGAAAGCCATTGCAAGAGTGGGAGCCAAGGAAGCACTTGAAGTCATCCACAATGATGTGCAATCCAGTATGGCAAAGATTCTTAGAATGCAGCAGTAACTGGACAAGAACAACTGAAATAATAGGTCAGAAATACATTTTTTTTTTAATGTTTTGGAGAACTTTGAAACAATGATCTGATTGCATGAAAGATACACTTGGAATGTGAAGTTAACTTCTGCTTTTTTTTATCAGCACTTTGTAGTTTTTAGAATGATTGCAGTAGCTTTTTAAGAAATGTATATAAATTAGTTGAGTGCTGTCTGGCATTGCAGTTTCAGTATAGTCAGAAGACAATGGACTGTGTAGAAGGTAACCAAAACAGTGGCAGAGATTAACTTAAGCAAGCCTCTACTGCAGAATAGGCAATATTTGGAGTGGAATATTCAGTACCTGCTATTGAGGAGCAGACTAGTATGTACATTATAAAGTCTCTATACGAGGGAATTGGCCAGATATAGATTATCTTTGGTTTGACAAGTATTACTTCACCAAAACTAAAAAAAAAAAATAGAAATTGACTTGTTGCTGTGGAGATACACAACAAAATTATTATTATTATTATTATACAGGATTTATATAGCGTCAACAGTTTGCTCAGCGCTTTACAATATAACAGGAGACAATGCAGCAACAATACAGTTCAATACAAGAGGGATAGGAGGGCCCTGCTCCTTGGAGCTTACAATCACTGGATAACAGGATAACACTGTGAAAATAAAATCAACAAAAATAACATAAATTCAAAATAGTGAAAAATAAAGAATGAAATAAATACTACTCTAAATTACATACAAAAAAAATAAAATAAAAGCAAAAACTGAAAAAAGTGTCAAAAATAAAAGTCCATATGTAAAAAAAAAAAAATGAAAGTCCTCTGAAGTGCCACAAAAGAACCACATAGTTCACTTTCTGACCACAAGGTAAGGTGGAATTAGTTGTGATTTGCACTTTGGAATAAAGAAAATTAGATGAAATGGGTATGTAATGTAATGATGATGTAAAATATATGAAGAATGTCAACAGCAATACTTTTTTAACCATATGTTGCTATTTAGGATGATTCAGTGAGGCAAAGTTCCATGTTGCAACAAAATAAATATATAGCAGGACACAAATGTGTTTGGGAGACTTGAAGAAACTTTATTGAGATTGATAAATAGCCCTCTAGCTCTGAGAGATAGATAAGATCATGCAATGTTCTTTGCATCAGAATATGATGACTCCCTGGCTACACTCATTCACTGTAGCCTGGAGGAGAGAAGCACAGCGTGACTGAGCCTGGCTGCTTCCTGCATAGTGGCATCACTACAAATCAGTTGAAAAACCCCTGAAGAATTATAAGTTGTGCTTCATGTGCCTTGTCCCCACAGCAGATTTCAGCCATCAGTGCGAAGATGCTATGCATCCTTTATTAAAACACATTTTTTTGCATTAGTGCAGCCCTAAAGCGAAAACTGTTCAGAACAACATAATACAGTGACATCAAATATATAACCTTCACATTCCTCACTTTTTTGTCAACTATTTTCTTGAAAATGTTCCATTTTTATATTGTTTTTAAATAGTTTTATTTAAAATTAAAAAGTACTTTTAACTGTAAATGTTGTGTAAGACAAGTGTATATAGCTGCATTTTTTTCTTAAAGGCAATACAAAGACCAAAGCTGAAATTCAAAGCGCAGTAGCTGACAGCAAAGAAGTACCTGTTGGTTATTGTACTTTGCCCTTTGATTTGTTTAGAGATGAATTTATTGAAGCAGTTGGCAAAGTAAACTTTAGTAATTACAGGGAACCTGTGTTCACTCAACAATGTGTGTGGGCAATTTAAAGCAGAAGTCAAGGTGAACTAACAAGATAAAAATGAATAGCCTATTAAAAGATAAAATACAAAATCGGTATTTGCTGCAAAATTCAGCTTTAATCCAGAGATTTCCCCCACGTTATTTTTTTTTCTGATGACTCAACCCTTTTTCTTTGAGTTCAAGTTTTCTTAAGGCCAGTAGATGCAATGAGCCTTTCAGAATGATTGTTCGGTTTTTTTTTTTTGCATGCTAGTCTCATATTGAAAGTGAAGTGGTTATTAAAGTTACAAAAATTCTTGTTTGACAGAATAAAAATTTGGAAGTGATGCAGGGCGGACTGACCATTTGGAAACTCGGGCACTGCCCGAGGGCCCAGGGTCAGTACGGGGCCCCATGAGATGCCCCTGGTACCTTTTTCATAGGCTTTTTTTGAGTTTGGGCGAGGACACAGGGGCCCCATGATCCCCTATTGCCCGGGGGCCCCATGAGTTGTCAGTCCGCCCCTGAAGTGATGTAATGTATTTGTATTGTATTTTCAGACGAAAACTGTACAGATTAAACGAAAACCGTACGATCTGATATCATGCCAGAAAGATTTTCTTGCTTGTCCCCTCTATTAATTTCCAAAGAAAGCTGTGTACCAACGATAAGATTATCATACGACCGCTTCGAAAGTGATATTTTTTGTATGATTTTCTGATCGTGTGTCCTAGGCTTTAGACTTGCACCCAGCCTATTGTTGGATAGCAGTAGGAGAAGTCGCACAATAATGATCTCATCTCTTTGTCATTTATCAGTATGATCCTCCCTTACACTCCAGCCCTGTTGTATAGGGACTGCAAGTTACTGATACTAGTTACCTTTACTACTTGCATTTCAGAAATATATTTAAAGATGTAATAATGATTTGTTTCTTTTATTTCTGCCATAATTTCAACTTTAATAAACAGGATTTTTGCTAGCACATAATTGGTTCATGGATGTGAAAACAATTTCAGCGTATTTACTAAGCTCACTGAACATTCATTTTGCTAGGTATACAGTCCCCACACCTTTAGAAAATCAACCTTACTGAATAAGCCTGAATGAATTAAGAAATCATGTTATGTTGTGTGCGATTTATGAAAGGCAAGCAGTCAAACTTTTTATAAGTGGTTACATGGCACATGACCACATGGCATTTTGCAGTTTGGGTTTTCTGATGGTGGCAATAGTGGACCATGCCTGTGTAACTGGGAGTACAAGTAAGAGATAGGGAGTGATTTTACCCTATAACCGGAAGTGCATAAACAAACACCCTATTGGCTGGATCTTTAATTATTATTAATTTAAATTAACAAAGGGTTGCAAGAAAACAGTAAAAAGCAGCCCCAAAATGCATTATTTACATATCTACAAAGTGCTTCTTATTACTCTGGAGTCCTTCTTTAATAATAAAAGTGGAAACTTGAGAGTAATGCAATAGGTCCTCAAACCATTTAACTAATGAAAAGCTACCAATTTCCTACAGCAGCAAAATCAAGTAACCTTGTCTAGCTTACAATCATATTGCATTGATTTGGCACCTTCTACTTATAAACATTTAGTATTGAATATACTTGAAGCTAACTGATATGCCAACCACTGGCTTGTGCCAAGCCTTCTAATTAAGAGTGCTCCATCTGTCCTGTATTACTTTAATCATTAGCATATACAATAATATTGTACAAGAGGTTATGGTGATGAGAAAGAAACACAGGTTTTGTTGTAAATGCAAAAGCAGCAATAGATATGGTTGAGGCTGATAAAATTTCCATCAACGTTAGGCAACACTAGGTCTGAGGTTGGTGAAGCCAGAAGGGAAATGTGTAACAGCTGTCCACTGCAACCAAACAGGTTTATATCTTTGGTCTGTAATGTGAATTGAAAAGTGATCATGCACTATTTTGTGTTATCACATGACAGTCTGATATAAGGAGTGAACCCACAGTATATACATAAGATAATTTCACATACTGGAAGTTTTAATGGAATCCATTATTGCTTTTGATGGACTATAAGAGGTCAGACTATGGGATTAATTGGGATCTTTAAAGGTATTTTAAACCACTTGCCACCCATCCACATTTTACTGTGGGTAGCTCGTAAAGGCACAATTATGTACCTGTCCGTCGACAGTGGTGTCTGGGTTTAGGGCATGCGTGTGTGCCCCTCTTCCCCCCGCCCGACTTCCATTGTGATTCAACACATGTGATTGTCAGCAGGTTTCAGGCAATACTTCATGGCTGATGATCGGCTGTATCCAATCACAGTCCAGAGCCTTGTGCTGACAAACATGTACAGAGGGAACAATGTTTTTTTTTCCTGCAAAGAGAAAAGGAACAAACAGATATTTAGAAAAAAGCAGAATTAGTGGCACTGGAGATGTCAGCGTCAGTTAGTCATTTTCCACCAAGCATCAGTTAGTGTCAGATTGCCCACTGCATAATCCCATTTTAAGTCAGTTAGTGTACCTCCAAGCCAGCATCAATTAGTGTAAGATTGTCCACTGCACCATCACAGTCCCATTGTAAGTTGCTAATCACCACCATTACAAGTATAAAAAGTATTTTTAAAAAGTCCAGTATACATACCAGAGTTTGAAGACACTATAACTTTCACACAAACTAATCAATATACACTCTTTGGATTTTTTTTTTTCACCAAAGACATGTAGCATAATACATTTTGACCTAAATTTATGAAAAGATAACATTTTTTTTGTTTTATTGGATATGTTTTATAGCATAAGTTTTTTCAAAATTATCAGTCCTTTTTTGCTTATATAATAAAAAATGAAAAATCCAAGTGGGGATCAAATACCACCAAAAGAAAGCTTTGTGTGAAAAAAATCTTATAAATTTCATTTGGGTACAGCATTGCATTGCTGTGCAGTTACGAGTTAAAGCAGTGCAGTGTTAATTAACAAAAAATGGACTTGTCAGGGAGGGAGTAAAAACTTCTGCAGCCCAAGTGGTTAAAGAAACTCATTATTAAAATAAAACTCCAGCAGGTATGACGAACAGGAGAATACAGATGCCTGTGCATATCTGCAGCAGCTCTTCAAACCCACCTGTCATCAAGAAGCTTGGTGCTATCAAGGATTTGGTCACGAAAAAAAAAAATTTGGAAGGTTGCTGCAGTTATTTGCATGGCGCTTATTATGTAAATGCCTGCAATTGAAACATGCAGCAGTTTTGCCTTATTCTTTTAAAATAGCTTAAAAGTCATACTTACCTGCTCTGTGCATCAGCACGGAGTTTTGAAGCTGGGTAGGTGGAGCCTTATGGGGCTTCACAGACATTAGTTCCCCATCAGGTCTGATGCCCTTGTGATTGACATCAGGCAGTGGATATATCTTTATCTAATAGACAGCCTGCTATTGGCTATAGAAACCACTCTCTGCCTATTGTCACTCACAAGAAGAAAGTGGACCTAATGGTGAACTAGGGTCTCAGCTTCCCCATCAAGCTCTAGCCACTGAGAATCACTGGTTGTAGGGGGCTATCGGCTGTGAGGCCAACAAGATGCTTAAAAACCTGTGACAGGTCATGGAGAGGCAGGAGTAGCACTGGCAAACATGCCGTTCTGCTATACAGCATAAAGAAGAAGGCACTTTGCTAGTCTCTGTACACAAACTTATAGTTAATTATTTGTTTTTCTTTGAGCCAGAGGTAATTATTTTGGAGTATGGAGCATCAATTGTGCCACTTTGTAAAAGTACATCTGTCGCACATATTGGTAAAGCTACTGAAATGAGCAGTATTAAATTTGAATCTGGCATAGACCATTTTAAAGGGCCATAGCAGCAGAAAAATGTTGCTAGGACTTTGTTGAATTTCCACCAATTGTCTTTTGGGTTTTCAAGTTTCTGATTGCCCCTACATAAATGATCAGAGGCTCTGGTGTATTGGTACTTTCTGATCCTATCCAGCATAACAGTAACCACCTAACCCCACCTACCCAATAATAATAATATGAAAAATGGGGAGATCTAGCATGATGATTAGTGTTGAGAACTCGATATACCGAGCTCTGGAATGTTTTACCTCCTTCATGACCAGGCCATTTTTTTTTCTAGTCTGTGCACTACTTCAACTGGCAATTGTATGATCAACTAAATTTTATATTTTTTTTTTTCACACACAAATAGAGCTTTCTTTTGGTGGCTTTGATAAACACTGAGTTTTTTTTTTTTTTACTATATAAATGGAAAAAGACTGATAATTGTGAAGAAAAAAAATATGCTTTAATTTCTGCTACAAAACATATCCAATTAAAAAAGTTAAAAAATTTAATTTCTTCATAAATTTAGGCCAAAATGTATTCTGCTGCATGTCATTGGTAAACAAAAATCCCAATAAGTGTATATTGATTGATTTGTGGGAAAGTTATAGCGTCTACAAACTAAGGTATATAGGAATTTGTTTTTATTTTTTTTATTCTACTAATGGAGGTAATCAGTGACTTATAGTGGGATTATGATAGTGCAGTGGGCAATCTGACACTAACTGAAGATGGGTGGGAAATGACTAACTGACACCTCCATTGACACTAATACAACAATCAGTGCTAATACTATACACTGCCACTGCACTAATGACACAGGCTGGGAAGGGGTTAACATCTGGGGGCAATTAACGGGTTAACTGTGTGCCTAACAATGTGTAATGTGTACTGCTTTTACTAAGCGATGTGACTGTTTTATCTCCCTGCTTCGGTTTGCCTGGACCTGCTGATCGACTTGTTCTGTAGCGAATGACAGCACAGTTTGGGAGGCGGGTGCACGCACTTCTACCCGAAAAATGCCAGATCCTGTACATGTACGTGATCTGGTGCAGAAGAGCCACTGACCAACAGTAGATCTACATAGGCCAGTCGGCAACTGGTTAATGTAAATGTATTTTCTCTACCTGTATGTGTATACAGAGTTTAAGTTATTATTTCATGTGCCATTTTCCATCTCTATCTCAAATCAGCATAATTTTACATCTACACCTACACACACCAATATGGCTTTGCTGCCCCCTCCCCCTCCCAATTCAATGTGCTTTGTGCACCTCCTGTGATTGTATAGAAAATGTTATGTATTCAGTTGAAAAAAAGTATGTTTTCATAAACACATTTTGTAAATTATGCAGTAATCTTAGCAGTTTCATACATCATTCATAAGTATAAGTATTTGCACAACTCAGACACCCACCTATGCTTCACAAGCTGCTGGCATGCAGAATACTGAAAAGCAGGATGACAGAGACTATGAAATAATAGTCCCAATGTGATGTGATCCGTATTGATTGAGTGTAAAGTGTAACATGCTATTGCTGAATATGTACACTGGACAGCTGGGTATGATAATGTGTGTGCACTGGAGCTAATTCCCTATCTTCTTATTGTTATTCTGTCCATGCCTTGGTTAGATCAAGCTATGTGGTAATGACTGCTAATTTGTTTACCACTGTGGTGCTGCAGTATTTCTGCATTACAG